TCCCCCCCCCCCCCCCCCCCCCCCCCCCCCCCCCCCCCCCCCCCCCCCCCTGCCTGCACCCCCCTTGCCCCCATTAGCCCACCCTATCCAGCTACCCCACACCCTGATCACTGGTCCCATCCGCAGACCCCGTTGCCCCTCTCCGTCCACACATCCATCCCTGCCCCGGCCCCATTTACCCGCCCTGACCTCATGCCATGGTCCTGGTTTCCCGCTACATCCATCCCCGTGCCCCGTTCGCTCTCCCCGTACCCCAGCCCCACGCACTGGCCCCATGTCCCTGCTCTGCCCCCCAGCCCCGAGCACCCCGTACCTGCTCCGGTGACAGGAGTCTGAGGTCAATGAGGTTGCGGTCGTAAGGCACCAGGGACACCACCTCAAAGGTCAGGAAGGGCTTCTCCCCAGTCTGGTGCTGCCGCAGAGAGGTGGCGTTGGGTGCCCCCCGCCACAGCCGGGGGGGTGCCCCCACTCCTGGCTTGGTGCAGCCCCCCCCGGTGCTGTGCCACCCCTGCCAGCCCAGCCCCATTGCGCTACCTCAGTCTGCGCCTCCACCACGAGGGCGACGTCCTCGATGCGGATCCCAAATTCGCCATCCCGGTAGTACCCTGGCTCTGGGGGCCGGGGAAGGCACCTGGTAAGTCCCGAGCCCCAGCAACTCCCCCAGCCCATCCCACCCCAGAGGGGCCGTATCTGGCTCCTGAGTGGGGCCGAGAGCTGAACGCCTACTCCTCTGGCCGGGTTCTGCGCCTCAGGGACATCCCTGAGAGCCCGAGGCACTGGCCAGAGCGGTGGGCGCACGTACCGATGGAGGTGAACATGCCGGCCGTCAGTGGCACGTTGTTGGACTGGAAGCCCACGGGCCCTGCAGGGGACATGGGGTGGGTTACAGCTCCTGGGGATGGCATGTGCTGCAGGGACACCCTGACAAGGACCAGGGTGTCACGCCGGCAAAAACCATGTGGCCATCACAGCAAGAACCATGGGGCCATCCCAGCAAGGACCACGTGGCCACGCTGTCAAGGACCATGGGACCACCCCAGCAAGGACTGCAGCACCCTGCAGGTAGGGGACACCCGCCTGCAGCAAGAGGATCAGCTGGGCTATGAGAAGCCTCAGATGAGCCCCTGTCCTCGTCCCTGTCCCCCGCAGCTCAGCCCACGTCTCCAGCGCTGGTGCCGGTGCCACAGCACTTACACTCGTGGACCGAGAGGAAGTTGCCGATGCCATGGCCGGTCCCGTGGCCGTAGTTGAGTCCCACATCCCAGAGTGCCCGGCGGGCGAAGGACTCCACCACTCTCCCTGGAGAATGACGAGGCGGGATGGGGGCCAGTGAACTGGTGAGGGTCCCCCCTGCCTTCCTCGTCCACACGCCCGGGGGGCCTGGGCAGGGCCGGGCTGCCCGATGCCTGGCTCAGCACCCACCTGCTGTGTTGGGTGGGAAGACGAGGCGGGACAGGTCGATGTTGCCCATCAGCACACGGGTGTAGGCTTCCTATAAGGGGCGGGGGGGGGGGGGTGGGGGGGGCGGTGCCCGGCCCCCCCCCCCCCGACATATCCAGCCCTGGCTGGGACCTTGGTGTTGAGTGCCACAGGGGGGTGCTTGGCACTGCAGGGGCATGCTGGCTGGCATGGGAGGGGCTGGTACCTTCTGGAGTGGGGTTGGCACACCCCAGTGCACCGTCCTCGTGATGTCTGTCGTCCCGTCCCTGCAAAGGGGGGATGTGAAGGGGGGCGATGCAGCCCCAGCGCTGGCTTTGGGGCCCCCTGCCACCACCCTGTCCTCCCTTTGGGGGGGCTGTGAGGGGAGGGGGGGGTCAGAGCCCGATCCCAGCCTCCAGCTGCCCACCTCCCACTGCCGCTGCCAGCCCTGGCACCCCCGGCCCCGACGAGCCGCGAGCCGCACCTGTAGTGGGCCAGCGCCGCGTTGAGCCCGCTGGCGGGGACAAGCTGGGGCTGGGGGTCCCCGGCTGCCCTTCACCGGGTGTTGGGGGGGGGCCGGGGGGGGGGGG